GTAGAAATACTGTTCAAAAAAAGTAAAAGCTAAACTCCAAGGATCAAGTCTATGGAACAGTACTCACACTCTGATGCCAGCTTTAGAATGTTCCCTGTGTTAGACGATAGCGCCTGGTTTCTAATGTAGATTTCCACCCTTTCCCCCGTCTACCATTAAGTTCCTAATCTACTGTCTGATATTGAGACTTTCTAACTTTGAAGGCAACACACTGTTTGGAACAACAAAGTTCTTGAGACAATTCCTCAAATTACACACACTCCCCAAGTCCCAGCTAGGCTCCTCATTGATCAGGCTGTGTTCTGTGTGTGCCTCCTATGGGCCTAACTGGTGCTTGGGCTGATTTGAAATGGAGATTTGCCACTGTTATGTTCCTAGATTTGTCTGCTTTAATTCCCTAGATTGATTTGCTTTGATAACATTTCTTAAAATAATCACCTAAGTCAACGTGGTATGGAAATACCTAGAAACTTTGATGAAAAGATGTGTTAATAATATCTCAGCAGTCTAATAATTGACCTTGAAAATGACTTTTAACATAGTTTTTCCTCCATTTTATGCAAATCAATCAATAATCTTTTTAAGGATTTCAACAGGACTTAATACCCCTGCTTTCTTAGGAGTAAAAAAAGGGCATCAGCAGTTGTTATTGAAAGCCCATGGTTTACAAAACCTTGTCAACTCAAAATAACAGATAATACCGAATTCAGTTTTTACCACTGAGCTACAGTCTCAGTTTCTTGTCATGTTTTTGAATATATACGAAAATGCAAAAAAGTTTTTAAGGAATCTGCTAAGTATTCTGAGATAATGTTTACCTAGGGAAAGTTAAAGCATTTTTATTAATAGTTTCAATTTCAGTAAACATATCTGGTTGAATAACTGGTGTACCCTAGAGGAGAGATAAAATAGACACCTCTTTGTGTATCTTTAGATGCTTAAGCTACTTTTGAGTTTCAAGGTATAGGAACTAAATTCCTGAGCTAGAAATAGGGCAGCTATAGAGTACTTGCCCAACGCGTGCACACACACACACACACACACACACACACACACACACACGCACATTAGAAACTTAAATCCTAATATAGGTTTCCCTAACAATCACTGAGAATGTTTAGACACCTCACTTGCTAACAACATCCCCCCCCCACACATCTACTTGACTCCTGGATTCCTAAAGTCCTATGTAGGTAATAAACATCGGCTAGAAATAGGGCAGCTATAGAGTACTTGCCCAATGCGTGCACACACACACACACACACACACACACACACACACGCACGCACATTAGAAACTTAAATCCTAACATAGGTTTCCCTAACAATCACTGAGAATGTTTAGACACCTCACTTGCTAAC